TTAGATAGAGGGGGTTACCCAGCAGACAGGGATGAAAGGCATATAGTAAAAAATGATCTAGTATGAATATTTTTTATTTACCATAATTTTAAAATGAATTATACAGAGTTGGTTTTTATACATTACATACACATGTTATTTACAGAGAACATTATTTACTTTGAAAAAATTATATGTCTAGTTAATAATTTTAATTTTATTTCACACAATTACGATTCTATTAACAGTTAAAATATCATTGCTTGTTTTGAGTTTATTTTTCTTCAGGAGTCTTCCACTCCTCGCCACTGCGGTGACTGGAGAAGACTGAGAATGAACCTCAGATGCTGGTAAAGGAGGAGCCACAGTCGGTTGGCTGCTTGAGCCCGCAGTATTCCAATCTACAACAAAATATTGCAACATTTATTACTTATATAATAACGAATATAATATTTTCAGACATCTGACACACAACACTACCTAGTTTCAAACTAAGCAGAACTTGTACTATGAAACCTAGATTGACTGATATGAGACATTAGTAGTCCCTGGTATGTTTATCTGTAGGATTTCTGTGGTGGTGTTCAAGTAACATTTATAAAGTGACAGATGTTATCTATATTTACAATTGAAACTTTATTTTAATGTCAAGTAGCAGTGTAAGTCTCATAACAACGAGAAATTGAATTATAAATATGAAATTAATCATATTCTCAAACATCACATTGTTATTTTACATTACAGTACATTGAGTATTGCAAATAGTAAATTGAATAAACTCACCTTTCAAGAAATTACACCATAGCCACGTATTGTAAATGGCTTGTTGGCACTGACTTTTTTGATGTTGGGATTCTTGGCGCAGAAGATGATGAAACACGTCTTCGTCTGTGCTGTTCAACAGTTCAATTTATTGTGGCACGCCTTACTGTGGTTTATTTTAAAGAAATCTTTATCAGTTTCTTTTCACATAAGACAACGGTCTAGTGGTATACGACTTAGCTATTATTGGAAGCTTAGATTTTTGTCACAATCGACAGCCAACACGACGTAATAATACAAATAATATTTTCTATAAAATGCTTCTTAAAGTTTCAAGGTTTACAAATAATCTTAAACTTGGAGATGAATTTACAATAAAAATAATAAATAATTTATAGACATAGCGTCGTATCTATGTCAATAAATTGTCAAGTGGAGACGTGTTATTCAGAAACCGAAAAAAATGTCATAATAATTATTTTAATTCTCCAAAATATACTACATTTTAAAATCTCCCATACCTAATTTAAGATTTATTATGTGTTTATATAAGTAAATTTTGTTTTAATTGTCAATAAATAGGTAGTTTAACTGAAAGTAATAAAAAAATCACTATTTCATTATGTTTTCGAACGCATAGTTCATTCAATAAGATGTTGAATTCGTTCTTAAGTGCACATCCTTATTTACGTTAGGATGACGTCACTAACGTAATCGTATCGAGCTCTCGATACCTTAACGTTAGTGCTTCGTGCTACCGCCTATCGTAAAACTCCGTAAACGTATCGAAGACTCGATACGTTTACGATACGCATTCGACATTTTTTCGTGCTCGGGGCACTGTATACGAGTACACATATTGGGCCCGTTTACACGAGAGTTGAGTTTGGGTTGAAATACATTGATAATATAACTATAAATTTTTTAAACATATATAAACATAGATAAATATTCATGACGGAACTTTTCGAATCGAAAAAAAGCTAAAAAATGTCGAGTTATAATCAAAAAGTTTAAAATTTTAAACTTTTCACTTCTGTCGGCACTTCCAGCGTGCCACTGCTTTTTTTATGGCATGAAGCATGCGGGCTTTGCCGCACTTTAAGTTCTTTGAGTTTGAATGAATGTCTGTATAAATTATATTTAAGAAAAACGACAACTCCCGCGGTAGGAATCTATCCTGTGTCGCGATGGACTTTACAAGCATACATAAACCGGACACAGAGACACAGACTCAGAACAATAATTTGTGGATCACACAAAGTGTTGTCTCATGTGGGGATCAAACCCACAACAATTAGCGCAGTAGGAAGCAGCGAGGTGACCGCTTAAACCACAACGCCATCCGTGCAGCCGATGATTTAACTAAAATCGTCACAAATAAAAGCAGAATACTTCCTTGCAGTCGAGTTTAAAGTTTGGAAATGTCCACGGAAATAAAAAAACATAGTCTTCATGACCCCTTACATAGTTCATCTATACTGAATCTGAAGGCGAACTATTGTTAGAACATTCACGATTAATTATTGACTTATCGCCATTTTTGTTATATTTTTAGATTAGCTTATTATTTTGTTATGATCACCGGCAAAAGACCATCACGGAACATACGTCATAATTTAATTATTATCTATGACACCAAAGGCTACCGATGACCGTTACATTTTAGACTTTTATGAAGCTTCTCACAGGACTCACAGGTGCTACTGAGAGGTGACATCGTTTTGTGTCGTATGGTAGACAGCTTAAATAACATGAAGCAGTAACCATGTTAGGAAAATTATGGATTTAAAATACAGAAATCTTATTTTAAAGTGATGAATTGAACTTGAAAAGTAACGGATAGATAGATTATTTTGTACGATATAGATCTTTCATGAATAAAACTATGGGATGTCAATATTATTCTAAAAATATCTGCAGAATAATTGGCAGCTGGTATTAGTCCGAAGAATTCCTCTGAGCACTCTCCATGATATATGCGATAGAGAATACAGAGTGAAGCCACATCTCTACGTAACTTAACGTAATGATTACTTTTAATTGTCAGCTATACATAACCTCACGTACATCTCACTAAACTACAAATTGAACAAAAAAACTTAATAGTTAAAACATAAACATATAATATCTAGACATAATCTCTCTTAACAACATCCTCTTCGCGTAATCATTAAGGACATTTTTAACCCGCTACAATCTTGATGTGCATAAAGCTGTAACTTTGTGACTGAAGAATTTAAGAAGTCAAAAGATGTAACAAAAGAAGTTTTGGTGTCCTTTTCCTTGTTGAACAGGCTCCTATCGGAATCCTAGGCATCCAGTTACGGTGTCACTTAGAGGGTAAGCTCAGATTGGCCTCGAAGATGCTTGGTGTGCTCAACAGATCGAGGCAGTATTTCACTCCGGCCCACCGCCTTTAGCTCTATAAGGCGCAAGTCCGGCCGCATATGGAATACTGTTCTCATCTCTATGTAGGGGCACCTCAGTACCTGCTTCTCCCTCTGGACCGCATCCAACGAAGAGTGTCTCGAAACGTCGATAGCCCAAAACATCTCCTATCGGCTCGATCCCTTCGCGTTACGTAGAGATGTGGCTTCACTCTGTACTCGTATTCTCTATCGCATATATCATGGAGAGTGCTCCGAGGAATTGTTCAGACTAATACCAGCTGCCACTTTCCACCATCGTTCCACACTTCCATACTGTGCGCTTTTCGAGACACTTTTTGCCCCGCACAATCAACCTGTGGAATAGGTTATCGTCTGCGGTATTTCCGGACCGATACGACCTTCAAGAAAAAGACCGGCAACGCGTTTGCGACTCCTGAGTTGCAGAAGTTCATGGGTGGCAATGGTCACTTTCCATAAGGTAGGCTCGTCTGCCCTCGGACATTAAAAAAGAAAAACAAATCACTAAAACATACAGGTAAATGACCTTTCTTCGAACTACTGCGGTTTGATTCCCGATTCCATATTCAAGACTAGTGATATTCATTAACCTAGTTTCCTGACCCTATTCGTTTTTCTAGCCTTCTTTTTTTGTCACGTCATCCATAAGAAAAGAAAAAACCGTTTGCAGTGTTATACATTGTGTACATCCCAAATTAGGTAACGGGCGGGCAGCTAATGGTGATAATAATTTATTTTTGCACCTACGCATCATATTCTACATCACCTGGACCTACCTATCATCATATGTCCTCCTTTGTACAATATGTGCATTAAGTAATGAGCCTTTGTTTTATTCTCAAATAAAAACTCATTTAAACCGTCAGTTATAGATAAAACTTTAACAAATCCAAGTACTGTCTCTTAAAGTGACTCGCTCGGTTACTTCCCGATCGTCAAGGAACTCCTTATCATATATAATGTTATATAATATACAAGCTACTAATTTTAATTACAAGTAGTGGGTATCCAACTCATAAAGCAAAGGCAAAGATAAAATAATCTGCTTCATTTAATGCCAAAAATAAATGCTTGTAAAGTCCCCCGCGACACAGGATATTTTCCTAATGCGAGAGTGGTATTTCAAAAAAAAAAACAAAAAAAATATATGACAAAAACTACCGTAGGTATCTGTTATCATTTATTCATATCTATTATCATTATTTTAAAACAGGAAATACTCAGTATTTTTTTACTATCTCGACTGAATTGTATTTTATTGTTTGTCATTAAAATAGTAATGTTTTCTTTCATTACTGGGAAAAATACTAACATTACATATTTAGACAGAATAAAATAACATCCATATCAAATTACATATCGCCTTCCTAACTGAATTATTAAATTTGTTTACTTCTTTTACTTGTCAGATGAAAATGGTAGTATATTAGTAGTAGTATACTAGTATCATCAAAAATTATTAGTTGTATTATGAAACTTGCTGTAACAACTGAATCGATTTCAACCCAACCGAAAAAAAAGTTATGATTTATATGTAACTAAAACCATGAGTCAAAATATTTCATCATGTTGTGTTTACTCATAGATCTACCAAAATGTTTTTTTTTATAACTATTAGCACTGTTAACTAACGTATTCAATCTGGTAACACTGTATTTGGCTTACCTGTGCTTGTTTGGCTTAAAGGTCTTGTTACCAGGCCATAAAAATACAAAAAAAAAAACCTGTGCTTGTCAAAGTTGTCAATAAAGTACACATTGTCGAAATAAATGTTATGTTACAAATTACAAAAGTCTGTCGAGATTGTAAACATTACTTTTTTTTTAATTGTAAAATTAAACAGAAAAAATGGAAGAGAACAATCCTAAAAGGAATAAACAAAAGAGTTTTACTAGAGAAGAATTGCTGAATAAGGATAAAAATGTAATGTTATTTCATAAAAATGTGATAAAAGTACCTATATCATTAATTTCGTAGAAATGTTTTAACCTTTGTGCAATATAAAAGTAAACATTTATTTTTTTCAGGAACTAGTTGAAAAAATAATTGCGTTAGAAAAATATAATCTCGATTTAAAAAATATTATAAGGAAAAAAGGCGAGAAAAGCGAGGCAAAACACGGAACAAAATCTCCCAAAAATTTTGATTTTACCAAGTGAGAATGAAACATTAATAATAGTTTATAATAATAATAACTTCACACATCTCACACACGGCTCCCATCTCGGTCTGATCCCAAACTAGGCAGAGCCTGTACTATGGGAACCGGCCTGCTGATACACATACTTATATATTTCAAAATACATATATAGTATAGATAAATTACACCCAGGCACAGAACAAATGATCTTTGTCCTTACAGTAACCTACATTGTCAAAGGCTCACCTCACTAAATAGTAGCTAAATCATTATTTTGTAAACCTTTGTTTAAATTCCAGGTGCCACTACCGTCGCATCTTACTAAGGATTCTATACTTTGGCTGGGATTACCAGGGATTCGTTGTCCAAGATGATACCAACCAGACAATAGAACACCATCTCTTTCATGCACTCACTAAATCCTGTTTAATAGAATGTAGGGAGAAGTCTAATTATCATCGGAGTGGTAGAACAGACAAGGGTGTCAGTGCTTTTGGACAGGTATAAATTCCTAATTTAACAGACAGATGTTGCTGCAGAGTTTGTCCCACCACTTCTTATTCTCAGCTAAAACACTAAGTAGATCTTGGGAACGAAAGGAAATGGACCTCCCTGATGTGACTTCATCTATGTCTATATTAGCCCATGCTATGCCTCTGATTTGCTTACCACTCTAATAATATCAATGGTGCACTTTATATATCAGAATCAAGCCTTAACTGTTCAAAACTATGCACCTACTTTGAAAATGAAGAAACAGGCTGTTCTTTATGTTTATGGCAAATGGTTGCATATTTTGCTACCTGACCACGTCAATGGCGTGACAGAAATAAGCTATGCAGTTTATCTGATAATTATTGGTTAGTAGTAATCATAGAAATCTTTACTCTCAACCGACCTAATAGTACTAAAAAATACTTTCTCATCAGGTAATATCAATAACAATACGCAGCAAATTTCCAGTGGATCAGCAGTATACTCTTACAGGCTTAAAGGAAGAGATACCTTATTGTAAAATATTAAATAGGCTGCTACCCAAAGACATAAGAGCAGTTGCTTGGATGCCTATACCTTTGGATAAACCCCAATATAGTGCAAGGTAAGTTTTGAATAACCAACTGAAAAAAGAGGAAATTAAATTTGGTTGTATTTTCTTTGAAATTGAATTGTTTTGTTTTGAAAGATTGTAGTACAGTAATAATTCTTAGATGATCACAGTACATTCTACCTTAACAATGGTATGCAACTGTAATGTTTGTTACCATAGAACTCCATGAATTATGAAATTTATCCCATTTGGCCCTATTCTAATGAATTTTCTTTAGGCTGGTAGAAAAAATCACCTATAAGGAAAATTAAGGAATGGAGAATACAGTCATTAATTCATGGTGATGTAGATAGATGGTTTTACATAGGTATTTGTCAAAGTTTCTCCAAAGCTTATAATTTTTCGCTTCAAATTTTTAAATGTAATAATTGCCCGTGGGTGTCGTAAGAGCCGACTAAGGGAGCAAACTAAGCAGGACAACAGCACTGCAAAGAGAAGGAAAACTTGAAACAAACCCTTTTTTTTTTTTTTTTGTGTGGAAATCCCTTCGGACCGTCACCCCACCGGGGTTTGCGGCGGGGTGGTGTGTCGGACTCGGACCGACTAAAACCACACGGTGTGCCACTCTGCGCCTGTAATAGGAGGGATCCGGGAACAGCTGTTATTAAGACATCCGGACCCCTCCTAGCGCTAGCCCGCTCCAGTTGCGGGCCCCGTCTCAAAATTGTTCCTCTCTTTAGGCGACGTCACGACGACACGCGGACGCCGCCCCCTCGCGGCTGGCCAAACTAATGCGGGTGGAGGGGAAACCCACCCCGTCCACCCGCGGCCACACTCAGGGCGGCATGAGGCGGTGATAGGCGCGCCATAGAAGGAGGCGGCGGAGAAGGCCGGGCGGATTTGGAATAGAGATAGTTTGATTCTTGAGAAAGGACATAGGCTACTTTTGCGATACTGATCGATCGATAACCGACATAAACACGAGCGGAGCCGCGGGCAAAAGCTAGTTTTAATTAATCTATGTAATTACTTCGCAGATTTGATTGCACTAAACGTCAATACAAATACTACTTTCCCCGGTCTACTCTAGACATAGAGGCGATGCGCGAAGCCTGTGGTCGTCTATTAGGATCCAATGACTACCGCAACATGTGCAAGATGGACGTTGGCAATAACGTGACGCAGTACCGACGGGAGCTGGTGAAAGCAGAACTGATACCGGTTACAGATAGTGATACTGAACATCGTAAGTTTATAGTTTTATGACAGATTACACACAGTTTCGTTTTGACGGATGGCGTAGTTGTTTAAGCGGTCACTGCGGCGAGTGTTGTGAGTTTGATCCCCACATGGGACAACTTTGTGTGATCCGGTAATTGTTGTTCTGAGTATGGGTAAAGTCCCCGCGACACAAGAATTATTCCAGGAGTTGTCTTTAAAAAAAAAGGTCTTGTCGTGGCAGAGCCATGTTTCGGTACACCACCACCTTAGTGATACCACGGCCTTATAGTAAACCGGTGTACAGCAACTCCTTCATTGCTTTTCCCGAGTGAGTGAGGCTACTGGAATCCAAACCTTGCTGTGAGGAAATCGACTCGACTCAGACTCGAACCGACCAAAAACCCCTGTGGGAACCCCTATGTCCCCTTTGTGCTCCCGAAAGGGGGCGCGCGCTCCGCAGCGCATCTCAGTCTCACTCAGTTACACTGTCACTCCGTGTTGCCTTAATTTTTTAATTATACTTTTTTTTTATTATTATTACAGCAACGGCAATGTACTATCTTCTGATAGAAGGTAATGCCTTCCTTTGGCATCAGATCCGCTGCATAATGGGGGTACTGTTACTAATAGGACAGGGGAAAGAAAGTCCTGAGATTATCACCGAACTGTTGAACGTTGAGAAGAATCCTAGGTAAGAATATCGCTGATGCTAAACCTGTATCGCGCAATTGCTTTCCACTGAGCGAGTGAGGTAACCGGAGTCCAAACCCCTCACTCCTGGTACTAGAAGGTGGGACTCAAGTGTGACAATGCACTTATAAGTCTTGAGTTTTGGTGTTGAGGCCCGTCTGCTCGTCCCCATGGTATAAAAAAAACAGTGACTGTGCCGTGTGGAGTGCCGACAGAAGTGGAAACTTGAAAAAATATATTGTTTTTGTTTTTGTTGTACGTATATACACAATATATGTTTACATTTCATATAGTTACATTATCAATGTATTTCAACCCAAACCTAATTCTCGTATAAACGGGGCCAATAGATGTAGATACTTAGATATAGAGGTGTCGGTAACGGTAACGGTGTTGCGAGATCAATGGTTTTTCAATCTCAACAAAATGTGTTTTTTGTTAAACCATAAAATACATTCTTTTGTTTGGTGTTTAAAATTGCCCATAGCGCCTAAAGAAATTTTTCACTTCAAAAATCATTGAATCATCGTCCAAATCATAATACGTCTCTTCTCTTAAATTTTTTAGGAAACCTCAATATAGTATGGCGTTGAATGTGCCTCTAAATCTGTTCCGTTGCTCATTCGATTTGGATGGTACGTGGATACAAGACAGGGACGAACTCCGTATGGTTATAACACAGTTGCAGAATGAGTGGAGCCTGAAGACCATACAGTTAGTATTTTTTATTTCTGCTTATGTAATCTTTTAATTTCTGCATTCAGATTGAGAAAAGACATTACACTCAAAGAATATCACACCTAGGAACAGATTTATTATTATTTTGATTTCAGGAGGACAAATATATATTTGTTGTTGTGATATTTTTATTTATTTATTTTATTGTTCCGTGGATCACTCCACGGATTAAGATTCATCCCATAGGTGTCGCAAGAGCCGACTAAGGGAGCAAACTACGCAGGACAACAGCACTGCAAAGTGAAAGAAAACTTGACACAAATCATATACCAACCCGTCTGGCCAGCGTGATATAGTAGACCAAAACCTGCTTTCTAAGAAGACTATGTCCAGCAGTGGACTGTTAAAGGCTGTTGATGCTAGTTTCAAACTAAGCAGAGCTTGTACTATGACAGCTAAGTTGACTAGATGGAACACTTATATACTTGTTTTTGTAAATACATATTATACATAGAAAACACCCAAACTCCGAAACAAATATTTGCAGATTACTGAGAATAATTTAATTGAGCAATGCCTTCCTCGAAAAAAAACTATTGCTAACAATAAATTCTATTATGTTATTAAATTTGGAAACAGGCAAGAGTAAATTTTAAAATTCTATTCTAAAACGAGATTATATTGGAATTTTATAAATACAAAAATTTCGAAAAGCATGCGTGGATCCACGTATACTTGCACGTTCGTACGCACGTATACACATACACTAGCGCGAGCTCGCACGTGACACCAATTGTTCATTAATATAATTTGCTACTTAAATAGTAGCTAACCAATATAGACACACACATTTAGTTATTTTTATCTTTATAATATTAATATCTATAAAATAACCTCATTGCATGTATTTACCAACGCTGTTTTGCCAATATTATTGTTTTTAATTTTTAATCATTTTTTTTTGTTGCCAACTCGTTTGGGACGGCAATTGTTTTATTCCGAACGCATACTCGCAGGAAATAGATTGCTGTCTCAAATATAAGCAAGTAACACTGTATACTTTAAATTGAAAACGACGATGTAATGTACCGAACAATAATGTATTACGAAATGTGTAATCGCAACTGGCACCCACAGGACATGCTTGCCTAGTGTGGGGCCACCGGCAATGTATCACATATTTTGTACTTTTCTTTTTGGTAATAAAAAATGAATTTGAATTTGATAGTATAATGTGGTCATAATAAGTGTTTAATTTGTTACTTTCAGATCAACAATGATAAAAGATGTGATCAATGAATTAGAAGAACAATTATCTGTGACAGAGACAGAACACAGCAGCGGCGTAAGGAGTAACAAAGACAGAGTCGTAGCATATACCGACTGTTTGCTGCAAGGTGTCAAGCCTAAAGTGTATACGCCTTTAATGAAAAGGAGTACTTGTTGTAAGTTATTGTATTGTACTCTTTTAGACAGTTGTGATACGCAATCAATATTGAACCATATGTTTTTAAAGTTAGAGTTGCTAATTGTGTATTTAGGTAAGTTAGCCGTCTATTTTTTATGATAGAGAAAAAACGAGCACACGGGTCACCTGATGGTAAGTGACTACCGCTTGAACGCCTACCACCCAGGCATCACCAGCGCGTTGCTGGCTTTTGAGGAAGGATTACGCTCTTTTCTGGAAGGTAGTATCGGTCCGGAAATACCTACCGCAGGCGACAATTTTTTCCACAAATTGGTTTTGCGAGATTATAATTATTATTTAATTCAGATTTTTTGATTTTAATTAATTAAATCAGTAATATCTTTTAATAAATTAAATTTAACTTTTCAGCCAGCTTAGAAGACCGCATAGAACACTATGCGAAGCGAAGAAAATTGAAGATGTAGAATAATGCAACATAATATAATCTATTTTGCATTTATAAATGTTTGATACCATGACTTTCTTGTTTTTATTATTTTTATTTTGTTAAATTTCAGCTATGCTCAGCTAACTAGGCGGTGTAGTAAAATATCACCACAGTAAACAGATTAATGTCTGATCTGGATATTTAGAATCAGTGCACTTAACACAAATGATTTCTTATACATATTGTTATCAGTATGATGATGGATTAAGAATACAAAATGTCCCCACCCCTATTCATCCCGAGTGTGGTAAGAGACGACCAAAGAAGCAAACTGCGCTGGATTACAGCACTGCAAAGAGAATTAAAACTTAAGACAAACCCTATATCAACGTCTGGCCAGCATGGTATAGTAGGCCGAAACGTCCTTCCAGCAGTGGACTATTAAAGGCTGTTAATGATGATGACGACATATTCTTATTTATTTAAAACACAATAAACAGCCATTATAATATGTATATATTGACTATTATAGACTATTTGAATTATTCGGGGTTACAAATATCCTCTATACAGCCCAGCAGCACTATAGTTAAACCGCCGTAAGCTTGGCCCTCCTGATGGTTTGCGGGACGCGGGGCGGGTGATGCGCTCGGCTATACATGACACGATGTACTAACTCGATATCTTCAGATTTATCTGTTTGAGATTTAATCTACACACGATGTAATAAAAATCGAATTTATTTCCATGTATAATAATGTCAGGGTATTGTAAGTTTTCTATGATTAATTGTAAAATTTAATACTGTAAAATAATTTTAATAAAATCACCTTATCTTCATCATGTAAAATATATTCAGATACAATTTAAAAATTAAGTAAAATAATAAATATTCTTTATTAGAACTTTAACAGTAGAACCTCTGTAAGCCGAACTTCAAGTTTTTAAATCTTTTTGTGACGCAGAGTCGGCAGATCATCCATATTGCTAAATAATACCGTGTGTAGCAGTCTTAAGAAAAATAACACGCACAGACATGCTTTCACGTCAGTCACTGCCGGCGGACAGCGACGCACTAGCTCATTGGTTGAATGCACCCCCGCCCCGCGTCCCCCAAGCCATCAGGAGGGCCAAGCTTACGGCGGTTTAACTATAGCTCCATGATATAATATGCTTTTTTCATATCCCAACTATTCTTTCTTTCACTAACAATTTATGGAACAGCCCACGTACGCTGATCAGCGTGAGAACTATTTAAATCGCGATACAGGATTAGCAGTTAGTTCGTAGTTCGGTGTGTCTTCGTTAGATGGCACTAGGGTAGGTTTTCAGGTTTCACTGTAAGTGGAAGTTGCCGAATCCTTCGTCCTAGCCGTTTTCTTTACCCCAAATAAATTTGTTCCGCTTCTGGCAGGTAGTCGGTCATCAACGAAACTAGCCAACTAGCCTATTTAGTGTAACATATTGCGCAGTCCTCAAATAAAATTGGAAACAGGCAGGATAATGTTGATGACGGTGATTTAATAACTTAGTGAAGCATCGTTATATTTATTTTTAATTTCCACAAGATCGAAAATAAAAATGCTAATGTTTTTCAGTTGCTTGTTTAGTGCTCAAACGGTAATAGTATCACACTTGGGTTAGCGCTACCTCAGCTTATGTGTTAGAAAAGCTGGTGAGCGTGGAATTTGAAAAGCGCTGCCTTAGTGGTTTAGTATGGTACGCGACCGCAGTCCATGAGGCCTCGCGTTCGATATCCGGACCGGGCAATACTTTCTAGGGTTTTTCTGAGATGAAAAATAGCATAAGTTACTACCTTACATATATAGACAGCTACCTGGTAGTAAAATATTATCAAAGTCGGTTCAGCCGTTGTGAAGATTACCCGGTACAAATAGACAGACATACAAAAAATATTTAAACTGGTTTTTAGGCATAGGTATCGTGCAAATAACCGTGTGAGCATAAAAAAAAAACTTATTTTGACATTACAAACAGATAGTTACTTCAATTTTAATTATTTGTATTGATGTTTTAGAATGCAAAAAGGCTAGCGACGATTATCGAGCTAATATAATTTTCTAACTATAGGACTACATTTCAATTTTGGCTATAAACTCCATGTACCTCTATTTTGATTAAAAGTAAATGCCCTATTTACCACATCAATAGATTATAAACTTACTTCAGTGTTATCGTCTGCTGATGAGAAGACCAATGTTTGCAGAGAATTCCGAAGATTTCTATTTCAGGGTGTGCTCGGGTCACAAGCAATAGACCTGCTTGTGATAACACCTTTTGCTTTTAGTTGGTCCGATTTCAACGTGCCTACTCCTTCACCGTTAGCACTAATGGGGTGATGATGATGATTCTTGGGCGACTCTAGGAAAGAAAGATATAGGTACAGACGTGGAAGCTAAAGGATCCATGCCACATAGTTAAATATGAGTTATAAAAAACGTTACAAAACAAATGCATCGGAAAATTGTATGTCTCTTTCGTAAGTATCTAAGGCTCTTTTGATTGAACCAACAACGATCCGAGACGAGCTTTGAAGAAGGTCGAATATTATGATGACCTAGTGTGAGTTTATTTCAAGGTCGAAGAGGATTGAGTCGATGTGAAATAAGTTCACACCAGGCCTTCAAAAATGACACAATTCCTCCTCCCCCACCTTAACTCTTGGGGAGCATTTAAAGGGCGTCAACGCACTAGCGTCTCTTGGGTTACAGTTACAGGTGTCCATAGGCAACTATAGTCCCTTACTAACAGGTGACGAACCCGTTCATATGCCTACTTTACCGAAACAAAAAACATGAAATCCCAAGCAATTAATAGTTGGCTACTCATACATCTCTCACTTCGATGTAATCAAATGTTTTGGTCTTGGAGGTAGTCCTAATAATAGGTATCTATATAAATGCTAGCGAGTTATTACTTATCTATGCCGATCTTAGTGGAACTTTCATTCACTTACATAAAGAGTTCGTTAAAACAACCCCGAATACTGAGCGAGATATTAAGTGTTGCTTTAACAGACTACAATAATGAATTACATACCTCTACCACGTTACAATATCAGCCCTATTATAATAGTATCATCCATTTGTAAAAATAAGGTCATAAAGCCAACCGACCAATAAAAACATGAAAATCGAAATCGACCTCAAACAGTAGCGGGACTATTCTGAACAATAATTGTCTCTGTAATTATCGAGGTACTGTAGGTAGGTACATAATATCAAACATAAACCGTGCATAAACCGGCCGCGGGCAGCGAACGGCCAAAGCGCCAACACTATCTCGCGTTATTTCTTGAACAGTATTAGAAGGCCGCTACGACCGGATAGCAGTCTTTACGGTGCGTAACAATGTCGACACAGAAAACTTGGATATCCTCGCGGATACCAATTTAAAGATTAAAATACAATGCAACACTAGGTTTTTGTGGGCATTAATAACTATAGTCCAACTAAATGATAATGTAACGTTCATTTAAACGTACATTCTGTGTCCGTGTTCCATTTTTTCGTTCGGGTAATATGATTTTGACAGTTCGATGAAAATATTTACGTTACGTGACGTTTGTGAAAAACTTTTTCGGGCAAAGTTTTGATCAAAATAATGATAGGTAATGACTTTTCATTCTAAGAAATAGTAAAAAAATCGTGTTGTGAGAGTGTAAATATGTGTCTTCAATTCAAGGAATAAAGTTTAAGGTGTGTATATATCAAGAATTAACGTTTAAGGTGTCATCGAAAAGTTATTTTGTGTTAGTAATTTATTTGCATATAATTGTTAATGTTGCAGGTAACTTTATTTATAAAGTTTTTTTTCTATAGCACAGTGAACTATGGGCTTATGCCGTGGTAGGAATTTTGCCAGAAATACATAAGTTTCCTTGATTATAGAGTAACAAAAGTGTCAATTTAAGTGGCACTTCCTTTGATTTTATTATTAGTTTGAACTATTTTGAAAATCGATTTGATTGTATAGGAAATTTTGAGCTTTTTCAATTGGTTTTATAAACTGGAGCTAGCATAATGAACATTGATTATACAATGCCTAAAAAGCTGATTACCTTTTATTAAAACTGGTAAATTTGGGTTAGAAGTTTTTGTTATTATAGTCTTACAAACTAAAGGCCTAAAAGACATGAATTAGATGAGGTTTATCTATGAGCCCCTGGAAAGTTACAAAATCGATGGGATCTAGTAATTTAGTACTGTTTTAATAGAAGACAACAAGTTTTATTTTTGTTAAACAATTAGCATGCCAAGTCACTTTAAAATCAAATATCTTCTTAAAGTTTTAATCTACATAAAACCTTATCTTTATAATTACGATTCAGATGTTGGTATGTATGATGCAGTGGTTAAGACATGCTGAATACAAACAGCACATTTTCAGTAACAGGTTTTACTTTTTAAACTGTTTAATCAGAAAGAATGCAAAACTCTATTCTCAGTTAAAGTTATGGACATCTGACCCTTAAAGACATCTTGTTTCAAACTAAGCAGAGTTTGTACTATGAAAACTAGACTGACTAATAGAATACTTACATATGTACTTTTTTTTGTAAATACATACATATTATACATAGAAAACACCCATTAGCAGATCACACAAACATTTGGTCCGGCCCGGGTATTGAATCCGAGACCTCAGCACAGCAGTTCCATATGCTACCACTGCACCATTGAGACGGTTAATAAATGAATAATTATTATCATAATAATGCTTCATTATTTCTACAGGGTAATCATGTTTATCCCAGCTGCGTATTATTGCATTTGCTCCAATAAGTACTCTCTTTGGTTCTAATTAGGTACATATTAGTTTGTGTGTATGACCTTTAGGTACATTTACCTAGAGGTAGCTTTTTATGCTATTCATTAACTTGGGTTATTATTTATTTTGTTTCAGTTTCAAGACCTAAGGATGAGCAATCGACAACACACTTTAGTGAATTTAAATAAAGAAATATCATGTTAAAATAGTGACTGTAAATAGGCCAGTAATTTAGACTAAACATAT